CCTGAAGCACAAAGAGCCCTAGACAGATCCAAAGATAAGGAGGCAGATAAATGTGCAGAAGCTTAGCAGAATAAGAACAAACAGAGTTAATCATGGAGAAAAGAGCACCTGCTGCAATCAGACACCAGACCAGGCCAAATCATGTCCGAAGCAATTTTCTGGGCAGCCTTCAGAGAGTCACCCAGCCTAAGAAGCCGGCCAGTTATGCCTGATCACTCTCTATAGCCTTGTCCTTACAAAAGACAAGTCCAGACTGGCCCAATGTAGACAAATGAGCAGTTCTATTTTCTCTGAAAGGTAATCTAGTTCCCTTTAAATTTAAATGTTTTCACAGTTTCCTAACAGGCCTCAGTGGGGCTCATGTAGAGATTAGTACGTCTAAAATGTGCCCAGCTTGCTTTGGTTATAATTTTTACCATGCAGTGGATAGAATTTTCATTATGACTCAAAGATTTTTCTGCATCTGATTCTCTTAGAAGGTCATATTCTCTGGGCTCAGATACGGGGTTGAGAAGTGAGTCAAATATAATGTACTTAACTGAGGTCTGAGGGAAATTCCATTGACTAAGAATCAGTGCCTCTACTAATCAGGTGGGGTAGGTATCAAAAGGCAATAGAATAGGAAAAGGGACCCCAGAGCAAGTGGTCAGAAGTGCAGCCCCACAGCTAGCCTGCTCTGGGATACTGAGCAAGTACGATAGCCTTGCCTCCCTGTAACTTAGATAGCACAGCCATGAAACAGGCAGAGAGAAGGATCTGGAACAGAACACTTAAATACAACATTCATCAGAGGCATTCTTTAAATTTAATCAAACAACTACCCTGGGAAGCTACTGTTATTTTTCAGATGAAGAGAATGAGGCTACTGTAATTGGTGACTCCATTACACTGTTACTAAACCACACACTGTGTACCATTAATGGGAGAATAAACTAGCACAGGCACTAAAAATAATAGTATGGAAGTTCCTAAAAAGTTAAAAATGGAACTGCCCTATGATCTAAAAATCCTACTTCTGAGCATATATTCAAGGAAAATAAAATCGGGATATCAAATAGATACTCCCATGTTCATTGCCTCATAATTTGCAATAGCCAAGATATGGAAACAACCTAAGTCTCTGCCAACAGATGAAAGGATAAGTGTATATATATATGCTTCACACTTACATATGAAATGGAATATTATTTAGCCACCAGAAAGAAGAAAATCCTGACAGTTGCTACAATGTGGACAGACCACCTTGAGGATATTATGCTCAGTGAAATAAGTCAGACAAAGACATATACTGCATGATATCACTTACATGTAAAATCTGTTATGTGGAATCACTTACATATGGAATTACTTTTATGTGAATTCACTTAAAGGTGTAATCAGCCTTAAAAAGCCAAACTCAATAGAAACAGAGAGTAGAATAATTGTAAACAGGAGAGAGGGGGACATAGGGAAATGTTGATCAAAGGGTAAAAATGTTCAGTTAGAAGATGAATATGTTTTGGGAATCTAATGTACAGCCAAATTATTATAGTTAATAATAATACATACACACACACATAAATGTATGTAAGGTAATGGAGGTGTTAGGTAAGGCCATGATTTAACCATTTCACAATGTACACATTAAATCAACACACTGTATACCTTGAACTTATACAATGTTATATGTCAATTATATCTCAATAAAGTTGGGGGGAAAGCAATTATGAACTTTAGATTTTTTTTTTTATTGTTGTTCAGATACAGTTGTCTCCACTTTTCCCCCACCCCAGCCTTCCCCACCTCCCACCCTCAATCTTACCCTCCTCTGGCTTTGTCTGTGTGTCCTTTACATGTATGTTCCTGACAACCTTCCCCATTTTCTCCCCATTATGCCCTCCCCACTCCCCTCTGGTGACTGTCACTTTATTCAATGTCTCTGGTAATATCAAATATTAACTGAATAGGAAACCATTTAGCCATTTAATAATTTGCAGGACAATATTTAATAAAATTGTATATTTTCTTTTTTGTGAGAAAAATAAGTTATATTCTTGAATATAAGATAGAAAAAAGAGTAGAAAATGAGTGAAAGGGATACCCTAAAATGTTAACAGAGGCTCTGAAGGTAAGAAAAACATTGTTCAGATTTTTTTGGTGCTTCACTGTATTTTTCACATTTTCTACAATAAAGACTATTGTCATAACCAGGAGATATACAATAAAAACTATTTTATATCCCTGAACTTTGCATTTTATGCAAAATTGAATCAGGATTTTTTTAAAGAAATGACACTTTACATGGAAAATTTTTCTTTAAAAATTGTTAAAGGGAGAGTGAAAATTACAAGAGAAAATAGAAGAGAAATTACAAGAGAAGACAGAGGGAAAAATAATACAAATGAACCACCTCCCACAAAGCTTATAACTCACCCTTGCAGACTAAATTGGAAATAAAGACCACTGGGGAGGGGTGGAAAGTGACCCCCAGCACCAGAGCAGTTGATAGGGGAGAACTAAAAGCTGCAGTTGACTTCAAGAAGTGATGGAGCTGGCAGATATAAATTTTTCAATTTTATGAGAATGATAGAGATCTGAAATAAATCTGTATTTTCTTTTTAAGATAAATGTTTTGAAATAAACCTTGCAGCATGGATGGATGGCCGGTGTCTGTGTCCTGTCTTAGAGCTAATCATAAATAACAAAGAGAAAAATAGCTTTGACCATTTTGAAAAGCATCTTTTTATTTTTTTGCTCTTAAAAGCTTAGAAGATTGTACTTGATGCATTAAGCTATATTTTTTTAAATGCAGCTGCGACTATCAGGAATAGTATAGAAATTGTCTTCAGATGAAAATAACTAGTCAAGGCTTAGCTTAGAAGTAAAGCTTCATTTCAAGATGTGCCTTAAAACCCATGGGCACAAACAATGGTTAGAATACAAATTCAAGTTTAAAGGTATTTGGTATGCTTATGATTTAAGGAAATTCTTTGGTGAATATTCAGGTAAAACTGTTCATTGTTCTTCAGCCCTATAACCAAAGAAGACAAGTCATCTTTTGTAAATCCAACTTTCAAGTATCAGATTTGCTTGAAATGTACCCCCACCCCACATTTTGGTCTGTACATGAGAAATCTTATAACTTGATTATAGAACAGCTTGTTCAACAACTTGAGTTTCCTAGTTCACTAATGGATGAAACAAGGCTACACCGAGAGCAGACATTAATCAGACACATCCCCTGCCTTTTAAAGAGTTAGCCTCACTACACTACAGTGACTTAACAGCATCCATTTACTCCCATATAAAACGTCACTGGTTTTCTCTGCTATGTTTTAAAGAGGGGTCCCACATTCAAATGGAAAGGTGGGTGAGAGGATTTGTTTGGTGGAAGAACCGCTCACTGCACACAGACTGAGAGCAAAAGAGGTGAGGGAAGCCAGGGGCGTGCGGCGCACTCCAGACAGGGAAGCTACCACTGAGCTCTACATTTCTGACCCGATTCTTTAAGATCTACCAAAGTCCCCCCTGCCTTTTTATGGTAAATCTCCCAATGTCTAAATGTTATATCTATTGTTAAAGCACATGGTGTATGCCAAACCAAACATTTTCATAATCCAAACATTTTTGGTAGTGTTTGTTTTAAAAACTCATTTTTGAGGATTGTTAAGAATTGCCGATTAACCCCAATACAAGAAAGAGAGGAGTTGGGATATTCCCAAGCTGGCAAAGATTTGGAGAGGAGACCTCATCTTTGGTGGGAAAATAAACCGCATGGGATTCATACTTCCCAGTGGAATCTGGTTGAACTGAGACCTCTGAGGATGGCTGGAAGTCATAAGGAAATGTCCCAACTCTAAACACCATGTAAGTCACAGTCAGGTGCGCATGGTGGTTATCATTCTACATGAAATCACAATGAAGCCTTCTTCTGAGAGTCAAGAGCATCTCCTCATGCTCTGCAAGAATGCTTATGGGTTTATCTTCACATAATGCTGAGTTTGCCCCATTTAACTCACCCCCTCACTCCTCACTTTATAATCTTCTGTAATGAAAAAAGGACCGTCACAAAACTTATCTCTTCCAAGTCCAAAACAGCCAATTTTTTTCTGCCCAAGTAGCTCATAATGTAGCAGATAAACTGTCAGGAAAAATAGACTTTATCATTGTGAAGATCTCAGTCTGGCACCCATCTATCATAAAACAATCTTCTAAAAATCTTGAAAACCTTCATTAAATTTCCTGTCTTTCTCCTGACAGTTATAAAATGTTAACAATATTACTCATGATGCAGGCATCTTCATAAATTCTTTGTTCAATCTCTCCACTCTCTGCCAATACCTATTCCCTTCTCTTTGCCAAAATCTATGGAAACATGAGACATAGCCATATTCTTCACATACCCCTCTTGGGGCCTGGACTTTGCAGAGGGTTAAAGGAGGAAGTAGTTGCAGTCTCAAAAACAATGAGAAGGCTCTCTGTCCATAAACTGCAGCGGGCAAAACAGCACTGACTTGGGGTTCCTCCTCTGAAAGTTGTACCCACTTGGAAGCTCAAGGGCACAGCTCTGTCCTACATTTAGCAAATATTTACTAATCTTTTTTCTTTCCCTTTCCTCTTGCCAATCTATCAAGCTACAAGTTTTCACATGCCCGTGATATGTGGGTAGTGGGGACTGTGGGTCACACATGTCCTCATGTCTATGGGCCATCTTTCTGAAGAGGACTCCCCTATGGAACTTACTAGCCCAAGTCTTCCATCTTTCAGAGACCACTTCAGCAACATACCATTTCTCAGAGGAAGAACTAGGCCTTTTGCATTGGAGGTGACACCAAGGAGGAAAACCATAAGGAGACAGAGACTCCACACCAGAAGTCAGAAGAGGCACACCACTTTGAAATCACACGCTGATCTATAAGATACGCAGCATAGTGGTAACAGCTACAAAGCCTGGGCTTTGTGAGGTTTCCCAGCTGTCTCCACAGTGAGCCAAGCCCAATCACACTAAGCCTTCATCTCACCTGCAAAAGGAACTGGTGCATCTTTGTCCAGGGCTACTAGTGGTGGGTCCAAAATGACGGTGTCATTGTTCTCAGTAATGACTCCATGGTACGAAGTCTCGATCCATGGCTTATGCTTGTTAACTATGGAAAAATAAAACAAAAAAATTCACCTTTAAGACTATCACTTGAATAATTAATTCATAATAGTAGTATTACTATCATATATTTACCCAATTATAGACTCTCATCTAACCACCACATGAGGGACATAGAGCACGTCAGTCTCATTTTTACACCCAAGGATGCTTCAGAGAAACACAGAGAGAGGTTCAGTAACTCACTCCACGCACGCAGGAAGTGAGATGGACACTGAGACTGAAAACACAGGTTCTGGTTCTGAGATTGTGGACCTTTTGCTTTACCAAAACCTCATTATCTCTATTTCTTGATGCCCCATATAGATACTGTTAAAAAGTATCAATATACTGCATCTATATACAGTATCTATATACTCTATCTATAACAGCATCTATATACTGTTTAAAAGCTTTTGTTCCCGGAAACTACTATCTACTAATAGATGTTTCAGAATTAAAATCTGTTTCGAATCAACGGACCTGCAGATTACGGTGGTGAGCTAGGATTTCTGACCTCAACCTAATCTGATCCACAATGGAACTGTGACTGCATTTTATACACATACAGGTATGTCTGAGTACCAATATATCTGTAAAGAGAGAAGATGTGACATTCAGTTATTTTCTGATGACTTCCAGATTGTTATCTAAATGGTCTAAATTACCTAGCAATTTAAGTTTCTCTTCAGTAATTTGATTAGTTCAATGATATATGATCTAATGAACAATTAATACACTTAAAATACATATCAAATATACATTACTGATTGATTTATGTCCCCAAAACATAGGTTAGAGTCTTAACCTCCAGTACTTTGAAATACGACCTTAGCTGGAGAGAGAGGTAATCAAATTAAAATGAGGCCATTAAGGTGGGCTTTCATCTAAATTGACTGGTATCCTTATAAAAAGTGGGAATTTTCACCCGGAGACAGACACACACAGAGAAAGAACATCACAGGAAGATTAGAGTTGTGGTGTCACCAGTCAGAGAACTTCCAGGAGCCACTAGACAGGCATTCAGAGCGAGCGTGGTCCTGCTGACACCTTGACCTAAGACTGCTGGCCTCTAGACCTGTGAGACAATAAATTTCTGTTGTTCTAAGTCATCCCATTTTTGATCATTTGTTAAGGCAGCCATGGAAAATGAGTACAAAATACTTACAGTTAACAGGTACCAATGAAGAGTAGAAAAATAAAATGTGACATTGGTGTAATATTCCTGTGAGAGAATCCTAACTGAGGAACATGTCATTTCTGCCGATTCCATCACCTTGATTAAGTCTGGTGCAGCTGTTTCCTGTCTGGAGAGCAGCAGTGACTGGCCTAGCAAGAAGTCTTGTCTCACTCTAATCCAATCTCCATACGGGCATTAAGAGTGATCTTTCTAATAAAGAAAGTATTCTAATAAAATACTAATCTGTTTACTCAACTATGAGTGCCTTTATTTTATTCCTCGTGTACCCTCAGAGAAATCTAGGTGCAGAACAGGTGCTTTAGAAACAAAATAACATGTTAGAGGGAGCCTTAGAATAATAAAAGGTGTCCTGGTGCCAGTCCTCACACCCTGCTCCACAGTTTCAAGGTGCCATCACATAAATAATGCTCCCCATGATAACCTGAGAGGTCAAGGTGATTAATAGGAAACAATGAAGAAACTACTTCCACAGGTGTGACTTTCCAAGGCGGTCACAGGGTTGATAATAAATAACTGAGAAAGCCAAGAACTCCTTCATATTCCATATCCAGAAAGCCACCAGAGACACACACAGACCCTGTTATAACATATATATAATACACATTCTAATATATAACACCCATTATAATACATACATATTATATTACATATTTTTCAGTAATCATGGCAAAGCAAGAGCTTATAGATTTGAGAACAGCCTCATCATGGTGGATCCTGGGTCCTCCCCAACCAATCATACCTCAAAGGATGAGGAAAGAAGTGTTTCAGGATTGGTGGTGGCCTCGGCCCAAGCCACCTTCACCACAGCACTCATGAACTAAGAGGCAGTTTAGTGGAGCAGGGGCATATGTCTTGCTCTTCTCAGGTCTTGGCCTCTGAGGTCCATTTCTGCTGACTGAATCACTTCCAGGGAAGACAGCAGCTCTGACTACTGCAGGTCTAAAAGGGGCAGCAGACTCATCCATGCTCACATGTTGGTATTTAATCTGGTGCCTCATTATGGACGCTGGAATAATCACAGCCACCCTGAGCTGTCCCTTTACTCTTTATTAGCCATCAACACAAATGCAATGTAAATAATATGCAGCTGTTGGGAGAAATGAATAATCTTTTTTTCCTTTTCATTAAACCTACAGGCTATTCATTAGAAATGTGTGCAGAGGATATGCCAGGAGCTTGCCCAGTGTTTCAGATTCATTGCACCACTTGGCTCAATGGCAGACAATGGAACTGGGAGTCGCAGTTGCTGGGTTTCAGCCACAGTTTAGCCACTTCAGGGCTGGTCCTGTGCAAATCAGGTGGCCACAAGACTTAACTCTCACAGCTGTAAAGTGGGAAATACAACACCACTCACAGTGTCATCAGATCATTCAGGTGGCTGGACACACAACCCCTGATGTCTCATTACTCAGACTTACCACCCTGCTCTCTGAGCAGTGATAGTGTCTGCAGGAGAGGAAATTTATAGACCTTAAAGTTGAGGTTCTCCCTCTGAGTGGGAAAGGGTTTATTCTCTCCTATCAATAGGCCTGCCTCTCTTTTCTCCTATCATTTCTACAGTTATTTGGGTACTTATCACATACATATTAAACATTTTACATACACTCCTTCATCCTCACAACAACTTTTTTAGGTAAAAGTTTGAATCTCATTTTGTAGGTAGGTGAGGAGGAGAGATTTAAATATTCCCATTTTGGAGAACAAGAATGTTAATATCCATAAAATTTCTCATTTATTTCCGACTTTATAACTTCCTTCAGATCTATCTTGACTTTTGTTTTGTCAAGTTCTAAAAACATTTGCATTTTGATGTGTAACCAAAATTAAATCTTTTTTTTTTTGCTTTCTCTATAAATCAGATCATCAGATTGCTAAACCAATAGTGTAAATTTATGCTATTTTGGCTATGAGCATATTATAGACAGCTGAGCCCAAGTACTGTGCAAGCATTATTTGTCCTTCTTAGTGGTTCAACAGTTGTTTCAAGGACAAAATTCCTTGAATCCAGACTAATTTGATTCTTTTTTTTTTTAATTTATTTATCTTTAGAGGGGAAGGAAAGGAGAAAGGGAGAGAAATATTAATGTATGGTTGCCCTTCGTGAGTCCCCTGCTGGAAACTGGCCCACAACCCAGGCATGTGCCCTGACTGGGAATCGAATCACGGTTGTTTGGTTCACAGGTCCATGCTCAATCCACTGAGCTACACCAGCCAGGGCTGGATTCTTGATTCTTTTACTCCATCAAATGGCCAGGTAACACTCCATTTTAACTTGCATTATATTTTAAACCAGCTTCTTTTGCATATTATTTTGTTTTCTGAATTTCATAATTATCCCTTTATTTTTATTGAGTTATGAAACACAGAACTTCTTCCCCACATCACAACCACTGTTATACCTTTTTAGTCACTCCATCTACTATGCATCCCTCATTTTTACAATGGAGATACTTACTTGATAGGAATGTTATAAAAAGTGTATATAAGCATTTAGGCAAATGCCCAGTAATAGGCATTCTAATTCTCTCATGTCCCCCTAGCTCATCTCAAGCTTCCAGGTGACTGAAGTACGGCCTTCCACTCACAGGGGTATTTACCACAGTGTTATTCATTCAACAAATATTTATGGGGTATCTCAAATATGCAACAGACAGTTTAAGTATTAGGAGTAAAAGGGAGAAAAAGTCCCTGGAAAGCCATTTCACAAAATTTAACATCCATTCATAATTAAAATTATGGGCAAATAAGGAATAGAATGAAACTTCCTTAATTTCATAAAGAACTTCTAAAATGTATTTTATTGGTTATGCTATGAGAGTTGTCCCAATTTCCCTCCTTTGCCCCTCTATGCCCAGTAAGCCCCTTCCCTCCATCAATTCCCCCACCACTTAGTTCATGTTCATGGGTTGTGCATATAAGCTCTTTGGCTTCCTTATTTCCTATAGTATTCTTAATGTACCTCTATTTTGTATCTACCAATTATGCTTCTTAATCCCTGAAACTTTTACCCATTCTTCTTCTTCCCCCTCTCAGCTGATAACCCTCCACATGATTTCCATATCTGTGATTCTGTTCCTGTTCTAGTGTTTGCTTGGTTTGTTTTTGTCTTTTAGACTCAGTTGTTAGTAATTGTGAGTTTGTTGACATTTTAATGTTCATAGTTTTGATCTTCTTGTTCTTAAGTCTTTTTAACATTTCATATAATAAGGGCTTGATGATAAAGAACTCCTTTAGCTTTACCTTTTCTGGGAAGCACATTATATCTGCCCTTCCATTCTAAATGATAGCTTTGCTGGATAGAGTGATCTTGGTTGTATGGCCCTGCTTTTCATCACTTTGAATACTTCTTGCAGGGCCCCATGCAAGGGATAGCAGGGCTCTCTCCTCCTCCCATTCCCCTGCTGCTAACCCTCCATGTGATCTCCATTTCTGTGGTTCTGTTCTTGTTCTAGTTGTTTGCTTAGTTTGCTTTTGTTTTTGTTTTAGGTGTGGCTGTTAATAATTGTGAGTTTGCTATCATTTTACTGTTCATATTTTTATCTTCTTTTTCCTAGATAAATCCCTTTAACATTTCATATAATAAGCACTTGGTGATGATGAACTATTTGAACTTGACCTTATCTGTGAAGCACTTGATCTGCCCTTCCATTCTAAATGAAAGCTTTGCTGGATAGAGCAATCCTGGATGTAGGTCCTTGCCTTTCATGACTTGGAATACTTCTTTCTAGCTCCTTCTTGCCTGTAAGGTCTCTTTTGAGAAATCACCTAACAGTCTATGGGCACTCCTTTTTTGTAGGTAACTGTCT